CTACCAACGAAAAAAAGTCCAGAACCAGATGGATTCACAGCCGACCTCTACCAGAGGTACAAGGGAGGAGCTGGTACCATTTCTTTTCTGAAACTATTCCAAACAATAGAAAAAAGAGGAATCCTCCTAACTCATTTTATGAGGCCAACATTATCCTGATACCAAAGCCTGGCAGAGACACAACAAAAAAAGAGAATTTTAGACCAATATCCCTGATGATGAACATCGATGCAAAAATCCTCAATAAAATACTGGCAAACCGGATTCAGCAACACATCAAAAGCTTATCCACCATGATCAAGTGGGCTTCATCCCTGGGATGCAAGGCTGGTTCAACATTCACAAATCAATAAACATAATCCAGCGTATAAACAGAACCAAAGACAAGAACCACATCATTATTCAATAGATTGCAGAGTGCTTTTGACAATATTCAACAGCCCTTCCTGCTAAAAACGCTCAATAAATTCAGTATTGATGGAACGTACTTCAAAATAATAAGAGCTATTTATGATTTGAACCCACAGCCAATATCATACTTGAATGGGCAAAAACTGGAAAAATTCCTTTTGAAAACTGGCACAAGACAGGGATGCCTTCTCTCACCACTCCTATTCAACATAGTGTTGAAGTTCTGCTAGGGCACTGTGGCAAGAAAGAAATCAAGGATTCAGTTAGGAAAAGAAGAAGTCAAATTGTCCCTCTTTGCAGATGACATGATTGCATATTTAGAAAACCCCATTGTCTCAGCCCAAAATTCTCTTGTGATAAGAATCTCAGTAAAGTCTCAGGATACAAAATTAATGTGCAAAAATCACAAGCATCTTTATATGACCAGTAACAGATAAACAGAGAGCTAAATCATGAATGAACTTATTCACAAATTGCTTCTCCAAAGAGAATAAATACCTAGGAACCAACTTACAAGGGATGTAAAGGACCTCTTCAAGGAGAACTACAAACCACTGCTCAGTGAAATAAAAAGAGGACACAAACAAATGGAAGAACATACCATGCTCATGGATAGGAAGAATCAATATCGTGAAAATGGCCACACTGCCCAAGGTTATTTATAGATTCAATGCCATCCCCATCAAGCTACCAATGAGTTTCTTCACAGAATTGGAAAACTGCCAAAAGTTCATATGGAACCAAAAAGATTCAGATCTCCAAGACAATCCTAAGTCAAAAGAACAAAGCTGGAGGCATCATGCTACCTGACTTCAAACTATACTACAAGGCTACAGTAATCAAAATAGCATGGTACTGGTACCAAAACAGAGATATAGACCAATGGAACAGAACAGATCCCTCAGAAATAATACCACATCTCAGTGTGCCATCTGATCTTTTGACAAACCTGAGAGAAACAAGAAATGGGGAAAGGATTCCCTATTTAATAAATGGTGCTGGGAAAATTGGCTAGCCATAAGTAGAAAGCTGAAACTGATCCTTTCCTTACTCCTTATACGAAAAATTAACCAAGATGGATTAGAGACTCTAAATGTTAGATCCCCAACACCATAAAAATCCTAGAGGAAAACCTAGGTAGTACCATTCAGGACATAGGCATGGGCAAAGACTTCATGTCTAAAACACCAAAGCAACGGCAGCAAAAGCCAAAATTGACAAATGGGATCTCATTAAACTAAAGAGCTTCTGCATTGCAAAAGAAACTACCATCAGAGTGAACAGGCAACCTATAGAATGGGAGAAAATTTTTGCAACCTACTCATCTGACAAAGGGCTAATATCCAGAACCTACAAAGAATTCAAACAAATTTACAAGAAAAAAACAAACAACCCCATCAAAAAGTGGGCAAAGGATATGAACAGACATTTCTCAAAAGAAGACATTCATACAGCCAACAGACACATGAAAAAATGCTCATCATCACTGGCCATCAGAGAAATGCAAATCAAAACCACAATGAGATACCATCTCTCACCAGTTAGAATGGCGATCATTAAAAAGTCAGGAAACAACAGGTGCTGGAGAGGATGTGGAGAAATAGGAACACTTTTACACTGTTGGTGGGATTGTAAACTAGTTCAACCATTATGGAAAACAGTATGGCGATTCCTCAAGGATCTAGAACTAGATGTACCATATGACCCAGCCATCCCATTACTGGGTATATACCCAAAGGATTATAAATCATGCTGCTATAAAGACACATGCACATGTATGTTTATTGCGGCACTATTCACAATAGCAAAGACTTGGAATCAACCCAAATGTCCATCAGTGACAGACTGGATTAAGAAAATGTGGCACATATACACCATGGAATACTATGCAGCCATAAAAAAGGATGAGTTTGTGTCCTTTGTAGGGACATGGATGCAGCTGGAAACCATCATTCTTAGCAAACTATCACAAGAACAGAAAACCAAACACCGCATGTTCTCACTCATAGGTGGGAACTGAACAATGAGATCACTTGGACTTGGGAAGGGGAACATCACACACCGGGGCCTATCATGGGGAGGGGGGAGAGGGGAGGGATTGCACTGGGAGTTATACCTGATGTAAATGACGAGTTGATGGGTGCTGACGAGTTGATGGCTGCAGCACACCAACATGGCACAAGTATACATATGTAACAAACCTGCACGTTATGCACATGTACCCTAGAACTCAAAGTATAATAATAAAAAAGAAAAAAAAAAAAAGATACAGCGTCTACACCAAGAGGCACATGATACAACCTGGACTCTGGGCAAACCACCAGGTGCACCCATATGAAGGTACCGTGGAAATTTATTACGTTGATTTAAGAATAACAATTGTGGATTATATTCAGTGTCCCATATGTAAGAGGAAGCTATGAATAAGTTAAGCCATATGTTCAAATGTGCCAGAGTTTTTATTTGCCTAGTCAAGAAGTATTGCTGAAATCACAAAATTAAATACACATTTAAAAGTCAATTTTGGTTCACATTTAATAGTAAGACAATCTTTCCAGCTAATGGCTAAACATGACTCAATTGTTGTACATTATTGTGAAGAGATCTCCCTGAAACAGTCATGCTAGATTACAATTTAAAAAATGAATATGTTTCTTTAACCAAGAGTTTTAGATTGACATCAAGATTGAGCATGTGATATACAAAGTTCCTGTATTATTCTATTCTGTCACCCTACCTTTTAATTCCACCTAACTTTCCCATCTTACATTACCGTGTTGTATTTGCTAAAATTAATGTGCAAATATTGATACATTTGTATCTAAAGTCTACCATTCACATAGTGTTCTTTCTTCCTGTTGCACAGTTCTATGAATTTTGAAATATTTACCATGTTATGTTTACCATTTTGATCTCCAAAACTTCCCTCTTCTTTACTCATGAATCTCTGTTCTTTTTCTCCAGAAATCTTGCCAACTACTGATATTTTTACCATCCCCTTGGTTTTGCCTTTTCCAGAATGTCGTATAGTTGGAGTCATATATTAGGGTGGTGCAAAAGTAATTGCGGTTTCCCCATTCTTTTAATGTCAAAAAGCGCAATTACTTTTGCACCAACCCAGTATTATGTAGCTTTTTCAGATGAACTTACTTCACTAATCAATATACTTAAAGTCACCCTGCTCTGCTGCCTTTCTGTACGGGCTCATCCACTTGAAGCCATGCCCTCACAGTCTTTCTGATACATGCCTTTGTCTTTTCTATGCCTTGATGGAGAACTCCTTTAAATGACAGAATAATATTGTGTTTTATGGATGATTATTTTTTTCATTCACCTCTTGAACATCTCGCTTCTAGTTTTGGTGGCTATAGATAAAGCTGCTGTAAACATTCCTGTGCAGGCTTTGTGTGGACATAACTTTTCATCTCAACTGAGTGCATACCTAAGAGCACAATTTTTGGATTGTATTGTGAAAATATGTTGGGATTCGTAAGAATTTAGTGGATTTCATATGAGAAATCATTTGGTTCTGGTGTTGTCTTTTTTGGAAAGTTCTTAATGTTGATTCAATTAATAGGCAGAGGCAGTTCAGATGATCTGTTTCTAGTGCGACCTTGGGAAGATTATGTCTCTCAAGGAATTGATACATTTCACCTAGGTTATCAAAATGTGGGAATAGAGTCATTCATAACAGTCCCAGATTATCCTTTTAATGCTCAACAGTTTGGTAGACATGGCCCCTCTTTTATTTCTGATATTAACAATGTGTGTCATCTTTTTTTGCTTTGTTAGCCTGCATATTTATTAATTGTAACAATTACAATTAATAATTACAATAATTAATTGGGGGAATTATCATTGTTAATGTAGATGAACGCACATCCAGGAAAATGCTACCTACACTGAGCAATGATGGCGACAACTTGTCTTTTCAGTTCTGGATAGGACATAGGCATTTATCCAGCTCTCTGTTCAAATACACACACATGCACCACACACGTATACACACACACTCACACTTTTACTATGAATAAAATCTATTGCACTCTTATCATTTAGAAAATCACATAATCCGGCTGGGTGCGGTGGCTCACGCCTGCAATCTCAGCACTTTGGGAGGCCGATGCAGGTGAATCATGAGGTCAAGAGTTCGAGACCAGCCTGGCCAACATGGTGAAACCCTCTGTCTAGTAAAAATACAAAAAATTAGCTGGGGTTGATGGTGAGTGCCTGTAATCCTAGCTACTCAGGAGGCTGAGGAAGGAAAATCACATAATCCATTAGGTGATATTCCAATGTTTATTTAACTCATAACTTCTATAATACATTAATTTGAACTTACAGAAATAAAAAAGTAAAGCATTTGGAAATTGATCCCAGAATACAGGACATTTCTATAGGAAACAAGATGTGAACATAAGACTCAATGAGTTGGATGGTGGCAATAATTAATACTTAGGACTCAATTTATAATCTAATCAAATTAGATTAAGTACAATCATGGCATGTCCCGTATTTTTCTCCTATGACTTTGTATAATGCTTTTACCAAGTAGAAAGTTTCCAAGTCTACCCACCCAAGTAATTTTCTTACCCTGTTTTTTGTTTTTTTGCAGTGGATGTTTGTTTGGCCTCCCCAGGATGGACTGGAGCATCAGTAGTGCCTGGGTTCATCACAGGACAGATACTCCAGACACCCTGATCACCATTAGGTGGAATTGAAGGAGCCAAAAACGGGCGCAGTGGCTCCTCAGCAGAGACTCTCCTGAATGTATAGACATGGGAACCACCTTCAGCATCAAAAAAGGAAACATTCTGCATGCCTATATCCAGAAAAATCCCCACTCGCTGTAACTTGCCATCTATGAAGAGGAAAGTTGGCGGCACCGTGCTGGCAGAGAGGCGGCTTCCAGCCCTCAAAACTCACAGTCCAGAATCCACGCTCTGTGGTCAGCTGGATCCTCCCTTTGCGGTGAACAGATTCTCTGCAGATTCCCAGGTCCCATTCTGTGCTTGTTCCCATGTCTACCTCCCAGTAGTGGCGGCCACAGGTAAAGCGAGAGGAGCCCAGGACACAAATGGACAAGTCAAATCTCTCGGCAACGTCTTGCCGATTCTGTCTGATGCGCCCACTTCGGACGCTCCTGAGGTCGTCAGAAATGAGGAGGAAGTTGTTGGCTGTGTTGGCATCCAAGGTCATATCCACTGTGAAAAGGAAAAAAAGTTGCTCAGCAAATGGACCGAAGCCCACCCCATGCCTCTCCTCTACTTCAAAGGCCCAAATGTCTCTTGACTTTAGTTTCTTTAATTCTCCCCCAAAATCAAAATTTCATGAGGCAACTTCCTTGACTAGTTCAAATTCTCACAGGTATGCTTTGTAGAAATACCCGACTCTTATTCACGGTAGCAATTCTTATTTTACTTTATGTCACATGTTTGCTTCATTGGACTTTTCTTCATTTAGAGTGGAGGGTCTCTGAAGGCAGACACCATGACCCCCTTTCTACCACCTTGATGCAGGAACAAATAAATAATAAGACAATGCAAGTGGTCGATATTAAATGATATTTATTTCCACGTTTTATTGCTTCAATTTAAATAGTATCTAGAGCATGATTCCAGGCCTTTGTTTTCCATGTTTGTAAACAAATTAATTGTGCACAGTTCTGACAGCAGATGGGACATCTCTGCAGCTGACAATGTGATGACAGAGGAAGGAGGCAGTGAGATCTGGCCTAGAGAAAATTAATTGTCCAGAACATTCAGAAAAAGAAATCTACAGAACATATAATCCTTCAAGTCAAAAAACTGATATGATCACCAATATAGATTTTATAGATTACAGTAAGACTTGAGGGGATTGATTGCTGTTTGATGGTGAATTAGGGAATGAAATAAACGAACATGGGCAAGGAAGGAGGAAGACGGTTCCAGACATGACTTGGCCAGGGTGAATGTGTCCTCCATATTTCAGCAGAGAGACAGTCAGGTACTGGTAGGTGGATGAGTAGAGATTGTGTCAGGGCAGAAGCTACTAGTGTCAGGGACATCATAGAGGCCCACCACCATTTATAGGTATAATTCTTTGCCCAGGCTGACCATAATCTGTTCATTTAAATGTCCCTTTTCTCCGGAGTTATGGAGAGTGATAGTATTTTCTGTAGCCAGGACCCCTGTTGAAGCCCATGGCGCGTGGATGAGGAGACCAGTGTCTGCAGCTCTCCCCACAGTCACAGAAACCACAGGTGCTCCATTCCAAACTCTTCCCAACCCTGGGGTGAGGTTGTTTGCTGCAATGGATGCCAATATTCACTGTGCATTAGAATTATCAGGCCCATTTTAATGTCAGAGTCCTGGGAACCTTTGCTAAAGAGAAGTTCAAATTCAGTTGCTCTATGTTTTTGCTACTCAGCAAAGTCCCTAAGCCAGTGGGAACAATCCTGAGACCTCCTAGTTCAGAATCTGCCTTTTAACAAGATTTCCAGGTAATTTAAGCACACTAAGTTTAGAGAATCCCTTGTCTAACCCATGACATAGACATCGGGTTTTTGTTTGTTTTTGTTTTTGAGATCACCAGGTGATTCTGTGTGTTGTCAGGGCTGCGAATCTGATGATGAAGAAGCATCTCAATTTTAGATGCCAGACAGCAGCTAATCCCCATATGGAATGGGGACCAATTGCACAAATGATTTTTCCTGGTCTGGTCGTGGGAAGGGGGCAGGGTATACAGATTCCTTACCTTGGAACTTGCGCATCCTTGGGTTCATCTGCAGAATCTTCTTCAGCTTGGGCTCCAGTTCCTTGATGTGGGAAACCAGCCTCTCTAGCTGCCGATTGGGCCTGACTTTGTTCTTCTGAGAGACCACAGAACAGCAATAGCAAAGTAGGTCCTCCCCATGGGGCTCCTTCTGCAGTGAGTTGATGCACTTGAGGCAGACGCTGCATCCACACTCCAGTGCACTTGAGGCAGACGCTGCATCCACACTCCAGGGACATCGGTTTTACTAGATAGTCTGAGCAGACGGGACAGCTGCTCGCTTCTTGGAAGAGTGCAGCCATGTCCACTGCCAGGGGAAAAGTGCACAAGGGAAGAAAATTTCCATGAGGTGAAAGCCTGTTAGTTGTGACAAGTGACAACCTTTTCATGCATATAGCTATTGTGTTCCAGCTTTGTCACTCCTAGAACAAGGCCATGAGTACAAACACTCAAGCACATCCCCCACCCCCTGTCTTCAGAGATCTGAAGTTCTACTGGGAAGGAAGTCACAAATCATCACTGTGCTCTGAGCTGAGGTGGAGGAAGGGTTCATTCTCCTGAGCCAGGAGACCCAGCAGCTGAGCCTGAGCCAGTGACACGGCAGCACCCATGTGAAGAGCAGAGAGCTGGGGTCACTTCACCTCCTCCTAGGGCAGCCCGAGCGAGAGACTGATGGATGAACATAAGAATTAGCGGCTGGGAGGCCAGGCGTGCCTGTAATCCCAGCACTTTGGGAGGCTGAGGTGGGTGGATCATCTGAGGCCATCAAAAGTTTGAGATCAGCCTGATCAACGTGGTGAAACCCCATCTCTACTGAAAATACAAAAGAACTAGCCAGGCGCGGTGGCAGACGCCTGTAATCCCAGATACTTGGGAGGCTGAGGCAGGAGAATCGCTTGAACCTGGGAGGCAGAGGTTGCAGTGAGCCGAGACTGTGCCATTGCACTCCGGCCTGGGCAACAGAGTGAGACACCATCTCAAAAAAAAAAAAAAAAAAAAAAAGGAAAAGAGGTGCTGGATGCAGTAGCTCACATCTGTAATCCCAGCACTTTGCAAGGCCGAGGCAGGAAGATCCCTTGAGCCCAGGAGTTCGAGACCAGTCTGGGCAACACAGGAAGACCCTGTCTCTACAAATAATACAAAAATTAGCAGTGAGCAGAGATCACGTCAGGTCTCTCCAACCTGGACAACAGAGTTAAGACCCTGTCTCACCAGAAAAAAAAAAAAAAAAAAAAATTACATCCTTCTCCAGCCTTGGAAATGAATACCAAATTGACTGCCACCATTCCTAGACTGGGGATCCAGGGTGACTGGTTTTCATCTCTGAGGCAGTGCTCAGACAGCCTTTGTTGAATTCGTTACTTACAAATTTCTCTCATTCATCCCCCCAAGTCATAACCCCCATTTCTAGACATCTAAGGAGGAAAAACACACACAGGCATGGACTCACCTCTTCTGCTGGAAGCTCCTCTGTCCTCCAGCTGCTTCCACCAGGAGCTCAGGTCTTGTGGGGAAGAGGCACACAAGGACCTTTTACTGGTGAGATTCCCACCTCCCACTGGGTCACACCCTGCCACGCCCTCTAACCTAATGAGACTTTGATTTAATTATAACAGGGAATTAGGTTTTTATTGGTGATAAATCTCCAGCTAATTGTAACTTTAGTAAATCCTTCATCCTGACAGTGTATTTTTCTTTCATATGAAGGTAAGATTAAATTGCCTTTATATTAAATTAGGCTTAATGTACTAACTTCAAAAGCTTATTTTAGAGATGTTTCCATCAGTTGTCAGAAAAGATAATTCCTGTAATATGTTGTAGGCTTCAAGCTTTGCTTGGAATCCTAAAGTATTAAGCATGATTGGATTTGCAATTTTACAAAATGGTTTAAATTCATATACATCAGACTCAAAAGTAATAAGGGCATGCATCCCATTGAGGAAATTCTAGGTAATTTTTTTTTATTTCCATTGGTTTATTTCTGGTTTTGAAAAAATTTCATAATTCTTAGGAAAAAATTGGATAATTACTATTTTGACAAATGACCCTTAAGCTTCTTGGACCTTGAGTACTTCAGAGAGTGTTAGGATAAAAACCACAATTTAAAAAAAAAAAAAAAAAAAAGATGATTTTCTGGTGAAACTTGAGTTCTCAGATAGAAATTGCTACCCGTGATGTGAGTTGTGCTTTCTTCCATTTGAATCAACCCCGAACCTTTTCCTTTTCATGCCTTTTTGTGTAGTGGGATCTTTACTGCTTTGTTTTCAAATTTCAAATAATTTGAATATAATCTTATGATTTTCCCTATCCCCTTTGGCACATATTAAAGGAATTTTCTCTTTTTGCGTAATTAAATATAAAGACCTAATTTTGGTCAGCTTTAAATATGATCCCTCATGGGATTAGAGGACTCTGAGACACTCAGGTCTTGTTTTGGTTTACTTTTTTTTCTCTTTACTTTCAGTTGACATGTAATACTTGTACATATTTATGGCACACAGTAATATTTTGATACATGCATAAAGTGTGTAACAATCAAGTCAGGATAATTAGCCACTCTAAACAATTTTTTTTTTTTGAGACAGAGTCTTGCTCTGTCGACCAGGCTGGAGTGCAGTGGCATGAATTTGGCTCACTGCAACATCTGGCTCCTGGGCTCAAGGAATTCTCCTGCCTCAGCCTCCTGAGTAGCTGGGATTACAGGCATGTGCCACCACGCCTGGCTAATTTTTTTTTTTTTTTTGTATTTTTAGTAGAAATGGGGTTTCACCATTTTGGCTAGGCTGGTCTCGAACTCCTGACCTCAGGTAACCCGCCTGCCTCGGCCTCCCAAAGTGCTGGGATTACAGGAGTGAGTCACCATGCCTGGCCAACATTTATTATTTCTTTGTGATGGGAGCCTTCAGAATCCTCTTAGCTTTTTGAAAATACGCAAGCATGTACAAGTAACCATATTTACCTAAACTACAGTTGTGTTAGAGCCCATTTCTCCCAATTAGCCGTAATTTTATATCCAATTACCAACCTCTCCCCAAGCTCCCCTCCCCCTTACCCTTCCCAGCATCCACCAGAGCCCATTTCTCCTATCTAGCTGTAATTCTGTATCTAATAACCAACCTCTCCCCAAGCTCCCCTCCTCCCCTTTACCCTCCCAGCCTCTACACCCACAATTCTATTCTCTGCTCAGCATTTTTCTTTTAGCTCCCATATAGGAGTGAGAACATGTGGTATTTATCTTTCCGGAGCTGATTTATTTTGCTTAACATCATGTCCTCCAGGCTGAGACTCAGGTGTTGACCGAGAGATCTGATGAATCTGCAGGTATCATGGAAATGGCCAGGTTAGAACTTAATTTGTACTTAACTCATAAAATAATAGCTTTGTTTTCAAATTTCAAATAACTTGAATATAATCTATTTCCCCCTTCTAAAGTGTATCACATATTAAATGAAGAGTTTTTCTTTGTATGTATATTTTTAAAAGACCTACATTTAGTTCTATTAAAAATGATGTACAATGGGACGAGATCACTCCTCGGGATTCAGTGTCTGAGCAAGAAAACAAAGCTTGGGAGACAGTGTGTAGGGAGCCCGGTGAACTTTACGTGATTGGAATGAATTGGATTCCGGTCATAAAGTAACGTTTGGGGTTTGCTCTTGGCTGAATTCTGGGTCACTCCACATACACATATAAAGACAGAGTCCAGCCCTGGCGTATCCTGTATGTGAGAAAAACTTTCTGCCAAAACCAGGCTGGATACAATGTAAAGAGTGTGAGAATGACTCATGAAATGATCAGATTCACAAGATGATCCTTTCAGCTGCTCCAGGGAAGAAGGAACAGACAGCAAGAAAGATTTGCGGAAGAGTTGTGACGTCAGTGAGCCAGCGGCACAGTGCAGGGTGAGGCAGCCAGAGCACAGAGAGGCAGCAAAAGCCACTCGGACAGGTGTGGGAGGGACACGGAGCCACGGCCCATAAAACCCAAAGGACAACTGTAACAATACTTTTTAGTATTTAAAATGCAATTTCTTATTAATCTACTTCATTGACGTTCATAGTTTGAGATGTTCCATATTTTTCTGCTGTAACTTTGTTCCATTATCTTGTACCAAGCAGAAAAGTTTCTAGCATTGAGCATAAAGTGAGCGTCTAAATGGTTTTGTGGCGAAAAGTTTATTTGCCCTGCTCAGGAGAAACTGTAGATTTGTCAGTGCCAAGATTAATCGCAGGACAGATACTCAGGAAGCCTTGGTCATCGATAATTGAATCTGCAAGAGCAAAAAATGGGCACAGTGGCTCTGCAGCAGAAATCTTAGCAAATGTAAAGATGTGGGTCCCATCATTAATGTTATAAAAGGAAATCATTCTCATACCCATATCCAGGAAAACGCCTACCCTGTGTAGCCCGGGACTCACGCAGAGGGTAGTTAAAGGCACAGTGCTGGCTGCAAAGAGCTTTTCTTTCCCCACACCCATAGTCCAGAAGCCAAGTTCTTTTTCTTTCTTTTTGTTTTTACTTATTTTTTATTATTATTATACTTTAAGTTCTAGGGTACATGTGCACAACATGCAGGTTTGTTACATATGTATACATGTGCCATGTTGGTGTGCTGCACCCGTTAACTCGTCATTTACATTAGGTATATCTCCTAATGCTATCTCTCCCCACTGCCCCCGCCCCACAACAGGCCCTGGTGTGTGATGTTCCCCTTCCTGTGTCCAAGTGTTCTCACTGTTCAGTTCCCACCTATGAGTGAGAACATGAGGTGTTTGGTTTTCTGTCCTTGCGATAGTTTGCTCAGAATGATGGTTTCTAACTTCATCCATGTCCCTACAAAGGACATGAACTCATCCTTTTTTTATAGCTGCATAGTATTCCATGGTGTATATGGGCCACATTTTCTTAATCCAGTCTATCATTGATGAACATTTGGGTTGGTTCCAAGTCTTTGCTATTGTGAATAGTGCTGCAGTAAACATATGTGTGCATGTGTCTTTATAGCTGCATGATTTACAATCCTTTGGGTATATGCTGGGCGCGGTGGCTCAGGGTTGTAATCCCAGCACTTTGGGAGGTCAAGGCAAGAGTACTGCTTGAGCCCAGGAGCTTGAGACCAGCCTGGGCAACAATGTGAATATATACAATGTGTGTATACACACACACACTATATACATATACATACATATATATACATTATACATACATACATATATATATAGAGAGAGAGTGCAGGGAAGCCCAAGTCTGTTTCTTCCTATCCAAATCCAAATGCACTTCAACAATTGGGTTTGTCTTTTTCTCATTTATTTATGGGAGCTCTTTTTTTCATGTTTTGTAATATCTTTTGGACTCCACATTTTCTATTTCATTTGCGCTGCCTTTTGAT